GAATTTACACGTAATTTCAAATAATCGGGTAGGTTCCATCAAAGTATTAACAAAATAAATATACATTTAATAAAGTATTCCTTTTTAGTTATTCATAATTTCCCTCGATGCAATTTTCAAATAATTGTATGGGCTAACATCATTGTCGACAATTTAAAAAACTCAATGATTATTTACAATATGAATTAATACTATATACATGAAAACAAAACAAAATAAGTTTAGTAATAAAGCCCCGACAATCTCTAAATGTGGCAGAAATATCAGTTAACTGGACGAAAAAATGGCGGGATTATAATAGTATAAAATATTTATCTATCCAACGTGCTCATTCAGTCACAACAACAAATACGAAAACACACACGCGAAACGAAAGCTATCATCACTGACCACCTAACGAGGGAGGGGATGGGGAATTAAACTAAAGAAAAATAGGGACAGAAATAAGAGAGCCAATGAGCATACATACCCTAGCTAAGTTAACCGCAAAAAGGAAACTAAAGATTCAAACTAAACCTAAACTAGACTAATATCGAGACTGGTTGCCTCTGTTCAACTCGGGAAGGACACAATCCTGTAACTAACCGGCATCAAAGTGCCACTCTAGGTCAGCCCCTTTCACTCTACACAGTCGCGCAAGATTTACTCACCTTTTGCTAAATTCTGAAGATTCGCCGCCTTTCCGTCCTAATCTTGACTTTAAGCTGATGCTTAAAGTACAAGATCAGTTGGGAAGAAGTGAACTTCTCATCTCTATAGAATCCCTTCTTACGTGTCGACCAAATCACGACTCTCATAACACCTAGCAGTGGCGGTGCCATATCGTCAACGCCAAACAATGAAGACAGGCCTGTCCGCGACAAAGAACTTTCCCTGCAGCATGCGAACCATGATGCCCTCAATAAACTTGCACAATGGGACTACAAACATTCAATGAAAGAAAGCGTGACCCAGGGTCTCGAACGCTCCATCACAGCGTCGGCAGTTTGGAGATTTCTCCAAGCCCGCTGAGTCAAGTTTTTTGGCGACCCAGTGGGCCCCACGCATCACCAGCCAGGTGAGGAGTGCCTCATCGTTATTGAGACATTTCAACCCGGGCGCCCAAGGCCAGATTGAGCGTGCTTCCTGCTTCGTAAGACCGAGCTCGTCAATCAGATCATCATGAATGGGCTCTCTGACTGACACTTGATATAATGTCCTACGAGACAACGCCTGAACGACGCCCGTTTCAGAGCAAGATGACATTCACGGTAGAAGAACCATTAGGCTCGGGGCAAACGGTGGGCCTCCTCCTCGCACGAGTGCACACTTCTCAAATTTCTACGAGGGTCTTCCTTCCAGAAGGCGCCCTCCTTATACGATTCGCGACACAAACTAGGAACCCGATGCGAAGCATATAATAACGAATCTAAATGCTAGACATACCTAGACCGCCTTCAGGGGGATGAAGGCAACAGATCTCCCGAGAAACCATAGCGGATTTGCCTCTCCACAAGAAAGAGAACAAGTGCCTTACTAATGAAATTAGTGTGGTATACGGAAGTGGAAGTACTGAGAGTCGGTAAAGGAGAATCGGGTAGATATGTGAAACACATCCCTCTGCCTTCCCCTTCAAAGAAAGATTCCTCAGAGGCCACAAATTAATTGCGATCTCGGCCTTCTCCTGTACCTCCGACCAATTCATTCCCAACTGAACATCAGGACCGAACCAGACGCCGAGTATCTTGACCAGCCTATCCATCCAGTGAAAAGGTCCTGGAAAAGAAACTCCATTCCACGCACCCAACCACAAGCCAACAGACATTTTGAGACTTTATCGATAAGTTGGATCTTGTCGATAAGTTCAGGAATGAATTTCACCGAGAAGTAGTTTGGACTTGGACTAATAGGGGAAGTTCTGCTTCTTGCTTACACGCTACATTGACCGAGTCATAGGAGAGTTGATTTAGGGCTCTTAGTCTGTCCGAGTTATCATACTATTGTTTATTCGGTCCATAGGCTTGTCCGGGTGCGTTTAAACTTAGATAAGCCTAGAATTAGAACGGCTGGTTATTGTTGTTCGGTGATAAGGATTTCCAGGAGCGAAAGTCGGCTCCGAAACCGGCCGCCGAAAGGACAGCCTCCAGAAATCGATGGTCAACCCTATCGAATGCCTTGGACTGATCCAAATTGATCAGCGCGGCTTCACTGTCGTCTTGTTCTACTATGAAGCGCACCAAATGAAGGTTGTCCTGAATAGTCCGACCCTTCACAGCACAAGTCTCCTCGGGGCCAGTCAGACTAGGTAGGACAGCCTGCAAACAGTTAGCTAAGACCTTGGCCAAAATCTTTAACTCTGTATTTAACATAGTTAAGGGTCTGAAGTTATTAATCCCATCCCCTTCGTGTTTATCCTTGCGCAGGAACTTGATCACACCTCTGGTGAAGCGTTCGGGAATATCCCCGTTCTTTATCCATTGGTTAAAAATCAGTGCCAGCAGAGGGACAAACACGTGCGACAGCCTCAAGTACACTTCATAGCCATCGATACCTTGACTCTTGTCTCGACCGACATGCTTCAACACGTCCCAGATTTCCTCCTCTGCTATCGGACCCTTGCACCCAGCCACTTCAGTCGCCTCGAGATGAGGAAAGTCAACCAAATCGGTGAACTGAGTCGAATTCAGACCGGTAAAAAGCTCCTGAAAGTGAGCTCGGAAAGCCTCGCATATGCTGTCGTTTGTAATCACTGTCCGCCCATCCGGCAATGTGACGCTAGCGATATATCGATCTGCGATACTGCGAAATTCTTCAGCTCGCAATTCAACGGCCATATTTGTTGCCTCGGAAGACATTCTTTTTAATCTGGCCCTAACTACCTGAGCTTGATTCTTGATAACAAGGAGGCCAACTCTTCCCTGGCTACGGCTATTCCCCACTATTCCCGATTTTTTAGCCCTGATCTACTTTAGACTTGTGCCGTTTTTCTTTAATCTATCTTGGTTGAGTCGAAATGGATAATCAGCCGCAAACGGCCTAATAGTAGCCTTAAGATGTCCTCTACCACATATTCCCAACCACAGAGCCCGTCAATTCCCGCATTAGGATTAGTAAAAACTGGCCCTGAAAATCCTTATCACCGAACAACAATAACCAGCCGTTCTAATTCTAGGCTTATCTAAGTTTAAACGCACCCGGACAAGCCTATGGACCGAATAAACAATAGTATGATAACTCGGACAGACTAAGAGCCCTAAATCAACTCTCCTATGACTCGGTCAATGTAGCTTGTAAGCAAGAAGCAGAACTTCCCCTATTAGTCCAAGTCCAAACTACTTCTCGGTGAAATTCATTCCTGAACTTATCGACAAGATCCAACTTATCGATAAAGTCTCAAAATAGCTTTACACCCGGGATGTTAGTACCCGATCTATTCCCCATGCGATCTATATCGGGATCGAGGACGGCATTCCAGTCACCCGATAAAATTAGACAACGAGAAGTCGTCAGAAACGGATCGATCCGCCGAAAAAAGGCGCCCCGCTCCCTGTGGTCATTGGGCGCATAAACTCCAATGAGACGAAATCCCTGATCTTTTATGGTAACGTCCACAACACAAAGCCTGTCCTCCAGACCTGCAAAGACAAGCGTACGTACAACATTCAAGGAACGGTTCACCAGCCAAGAACCACTCCCCTAGAGTGGCCATCATAACACGCTGAAAAGAGGTCAAACCTCTTCGTCAGTATATTATAATGGCCCCAGAATGGAAACGAGTCTCTTGTACAGTACATACACCCACTCCAAGGCGCTGAATGTCGCGATTGAGTTTCGCCCTTGGAGACTCCGACCTCAGTCCCTTTACATTCAAACTGGCTAAAAAAAAGGAGACATTGTTAGATCTAATAGGGTTAGCCACCTGCCCTAAACATTGTCGGGTGAGGATACCGACGGCCTCGCCCATTGACCCATGTCCCATTTCCTTATTCATATGACCCTCAATCGCGAGATCCCCGATATCCCACGTAAATGTTAATTTAAGTGCTCTATAGAGGGAGGGGTGAACAAAAATAGATTTGTTAGTGTGCTTGCTCTTGGGGGCTTCCGGGGACTGAGATCCCGCAGCTTGCGGCTTCCCTCTCACTCTATCCACGACTTGCCATTCCTGCTTATCTTCCTCTTTCTTTTTTGCAGCGAATGCGGGCTCTGGGAGAGATCCAACCGTGGATTTTCCACCACCGGTGCCAGCCGCAGGTAAGCCCATTACAGGCGCCACAGAACAAGAAGTATCAGTTCGAGGGGGATCGGACTTAGGCGGGACTCCAGAGGCCTTCTTCTCTGGGCAGGAAGGGGTGAGGTGACCAATCTCACCACATTTCCAACAACAAGCTGGTTTCCTCCCCGTCACAATGACAAGGTAGTGTCTCCGGCCTATCTCCAAGCTATTGGGAATGGAGGTGAAGGCTTCTCAATCTATCATTATCTCGAACTCCCACTCAACTATCTCATATTCTGGAGTAACATTCACAATCTGGCCATACTGCATGAGATATTTCCCGAAATGCTCGCCAAGAATATAAGCAGGGATCTCATACACTGTCACCTTGGTCCTACGTCGTCCTTGGTATTCTGTGCGAATGATGTAGTCTTTCGTGATTAAATCACGAGACGTTACATCCACACAATCCTCTGGCATGGGCAACAGTATGTCACACATGAAGAATCCTAGTCTTTTAATAATCTGTTGAGGTTTAACCCCCAAGGAATTCAGTGCTTTCAACACTGTACCTTTCGGGCATCGGCAAATTTTTCGCGTTACCTTGTCGAGCACAAAGGCTTGCACTGTTCTTTGGAATGCATTCTTGCGCATCGAGGTCTACCAAAATCCCGACATCAGTAACCAGATGAGCATACGTTTTGGCCTTCTCCATAAACTACGCTACATTGACCATGCATTTCGGGAGGGGGGACTCCAGACAGAGGGTGATTCACCCGTCGCTACACCGCTGACTTCGGCCGCCATGCTAGTGCTTGCTTCTTTGTCGTTGTCTTTTCCATTGGTCTTATCTATAACAGGGGTGGGTATATTGGATTTTCCTTTATAGGGAACACCTTTAGATGTTTTGTCCCTTTTTAGTTGGGGGGTTGGTAACAGCATCATTAGATTTATCAGGTGGATCTGCCTTAGTGGCAGTTCCAAATAATTTTTTGACGGTCCGATTCTGGTCGCCCATCGGGTGAAATGTTCTTTTTTTTAACAGCCAAAAATAAAATTCTTTTTTCCTAAATTCAAACAAGGGAGCAAAAAAGAAAAAAACGAAAACAAAATGCAAACAAAATATAAACTGACAGAAAAACCCAAACGCAAAAACAAAAACAAGTCTGACGAAACAAAAAAAACTGAAAACAAAAATTAAATCAGTCCGCAGCTGGAAAGAAAGTAAGAAAACTGAAAAAGAAAGAATGTAATCACCAAAAAAAAGAAACTTTGTCAAAACAGAAATAAACTTAACAAAGGTGAGTTCCAAAAAGCCGCTCCTCGTGTTATCCAATGTACGTCAAACAAAACCAAATCTGGACAGCGAAAATTTTTGGATTGAATATTTTTTCGCACATTAGTACAAAAGGGGATTGGGGGAAAGGACGGTCTTCTTCTGTCTTAATTTCTAAACTTAGCGAGCCGCAAACACTGAACCAAACATACCAACAATAGTCCTACCACCAAAACAACACATTCTCTCCTACCTTTCTTACAACATCCACCATAATACCTCATTGTCTCTATGAAATCCTAACTAGTCCCCATATGTACATTTCAAAGTCTGTGGTGGGAAAGGGGAATAAAAACCAACAATTTAAAAAAGCCTCAATGATTATTTACAATATGAATTAATACTATATACAAGAAAACAAAACAAAATAAGGTTAGTAATAAAAAAAACACAATCCCTAAATGTGGCAGAAACATTAGTTAACTGGACGAAAAAAATGCAGGATTATAATAGTATAAAAACATTCATTCATCCCAAGCGCCCACACAAACACGCACTCATTCAGACACAACAAATAAGAAAAAAAAAAAACGCACACACGCAAAACGAAAGGCATCCCGCATCTAATAGAGAACTGACATCACTGACCACCTAACAAGAGAGGGGACGTGTTATGATCCGGTTCCTTGTACCACGATGATAGGCCAAGGTAGAACCAATAAAGAACTCGAATACGGATATGGAATAACACAGATATATTACAAACAGGAATATATACAGAGAAGAAGAAGAAAGTGTTAGTACGAACAATCAGGTTTAGTAGTAATTGTCTGAATGCGACTCTGTTTCGGACTGCCTCTGACTCGACTGACTGACTCGCTCGATCTGACTGACTGACAGACACCTGGCGGACTTCATTCCAGACTTCAGACTGAACGGTATTTAGCCACCCCTCCCCCCACGAGGGCATCATGTGGCACAAGGCCGGTTTAAAGTGGGATCTCACGTCGTCGGCCATCTTTAAAAAGAAAAAAAAACACCCAGCGGGTCTTAAATGATTGTTCAATTTAAAGTGTAAAAAGGGAAAGAAGTACGGATGGGGAAAAATATTAAAAGACAATACACAAAATAAAAAATTAGATTTTTCTAAAAATAGAAGAAATTAAACAAATATTACAAAGAATAAAAACGAAAAAAAACTGGTTACAAAAAAGTGAAAAAGAAAATAAAACTGTTTATAATTACTAACAAAAAGGAAAACAATAAACTTTAGGAAAGTGGGAAAACTAAAAGTTAACCCAAATTAAAAACAAATAAAACTGATAAAGTATTTAAATTAAACTAACCTAGTTCAATATAAAATAAATGGTTTGGTATAAAACTTTAAAAGTTAAAAGAATTCAAAATGACGACCGAAGGCCGCTGAGAAAAAAGAAAAACGAAAAAGTTAGATAGGAAAGAGAAGAAAAATTAAATTTCAAAATTCAAAAATAAACAATACAAGATATCCTTTTTTGCATGTCAACAATTAACGTAAACTATTAAATGCATGAAGAAAAAGAAAAGAAATACAAAAGACTGGTTTGAAACTAGTCAAACCAAAATGAACATTGAAGGTTTGCGGCCGAAGTCGCTAAAGAAAAAAAAATAAAAGAAATCTAATGGAAAAAGAAATGAAAAAGTCTGGTTTGAAACTAGTCAAACCAAAAAAATAAAGGTTTGCGGCCGAAGTCTCTAAATAAAGAAAAATAAACCGAGTGGAATTAATTCGAAAATAAAAACGGGGAAGGGTATAAACTAAAAAAGGTGGGAAAATCAAAAAACTTTCTTTCTTTTTCTCAGGCAGTAGTCTGGTAAGACTTTGTCAAACTAAAAAATAAAAATGTTGGCCAAAGTCAAGAAACAATAATTCGAACAAAAGAAACAAATAAATGAAAGAAAGAAAAATAAATCTTAACGAATAACTTAACTGAATAGAATAACTTGTGGGCCGATGAAGATTGTTAATCCAAAAGGAAAACACGACAGATTCCAAAAAATTGGTCACTTCCGGACAAAAATTCGTCGGACAAGCGAAATTTTTGGAATGACTAATCTTGAAATTTACCCATCTTTATAAACATATTCATTCGTAATATTAATTACTATAGAAACGGCTGAAACAATTATTTCAATAAGGAGCGTAAGGGTTAACAAAAAGTAACTAATATATTGATACAAGTTGTTAAACCTTAAAGTTTGGTTAAGAAGGAGGAAGAGTGGAAATGGCGTGTCGTTTATAGGGGCAGAGGGAAGAACCGAACAGCGAGGCCTCTTGTCCCATCCTGGCCCCGGGGTCAAGAACACCTACAGGCCCCATTCCCTCTAACAGTGCTGGAGCCTCAAGTGGCCGATATGAATAAACATTGGTCCCCGTTTTTGTTCGCCCATCCCTGTATAGAGCACTTAAACTTACATACCCTGGGGACATTGGTGGCCTGTCTCATGATGACACCGTCAAAATTGAGATGGCCGCTGGATCATTGATATAGGGAAATGCTGTCGGTGTTCCCACCCCGACCATGTTCTATCCTGGAGGACAACCCTAATTGTTTTGATAATGCCACTATGGTTGGCAAGTGTGAATGTTCGAGGCCTGAGGTGGGAGTCTCGAAGGGTGAGGCTCTCTCGCGACCTTCAGCGCTTGGAGGTGAATATGTGTCGTGTGCAAGAGACCCGTTTTTCTTCTCCCGATTATGAAGGCATTCTGTCTAAGGGGTTTTCTCTTTATTATTTTCTCTATATTTTTGATGGACGCTCGAGGGGTATCTCTTGGCTAGTGAGCAAGTCTTTGAAGACTGTGTGTGCTCTTGTCTTCGCATATCCGGCGGGCAGACTTTGCCTGCTGGATGTTACCATAAAGTATAAAGCTCTGCGTCTCATTGGGGTTTTCGGGCCCAATATTCTGACTGAGCGGCCTGCTTTGTTTCGGCAGATCGGGCCGTTTATGATGACATCACGTCTGGTAGTTTTAGCGGGGGATGGGAATGCCATCCTTGACCCCGATATAGATCGTATGGGGTCAAATTCAAATTCGGTCACTAACAACTAGACATTGAAGTATTATGGTGAACGTAGCAAGAATGATAGGAGAGAATGTGTTGTTTTAGTGGTAGGACTATGGTTGGTATGTTTGGGTCAGTGTTTGTTAAGTTTAGAATTAAGACAGAAGAAGACTGTCCTTTTCCCAAATCTTTTTTTGGCCTTGTGCCATATTTTGTACCATCGTACAAATAAATATCTATTCCAAAAATTTCGCATGAGGATGAAACAGAGCTTGATACTTTAATTCAATTTAATCGTAATAATATTGAAGTTTTTGGCTCTTGTTTTTAAAACATGTGAACATGTGAATGTAGCGCAGGAATCATATTTTTTTAAAATAATTATAATTTAGACTCCAGTTATGTATTAAACACTGTTTTTTTTTTAAAATAAAAACAAAAATACTAAAGAACTTCAGAGTATTTACCTAACGTGTTCTTTCCTATTTTTCTATATATTTGCACACACACACGCACACACACACACACATATATATATATATATTTATATGTGTGTATGTGTGTGTGTGTGTGTGTGTATCTTGTGCCTTGGACCAATCTGTGTTAAGAGAGTAAAATCCTTTTCCTATCCTGTCAAAATCATAGCACACCCATACCACACTGTTTATTTGGGACTTCATAGTGACCTCAAAAGGGTGGTAGAAATCACAGATTTAAATAATAAATCAACTATGCCAATTAGCAATCAATATGGATCTATCATTTCTAATTAAATATAAAGAGTAATGTTATATGAATAAATCAATGAAATGTGATCCATTAAAAAATTATCTGAAAGAGGAAAATGTCAGAAAATATCAATGGATACGCGTATGCATTCAAAAACAATATCGCGTGTGGGTGTTTTTAATCTATTATGTGTCTGTCTAGGCTATTATATACATTTATCTTTGTAGATTTAAATATGACGAAATATTATTTTTGGACTGAATAATAGAGATAAATATTAAGATTATATATACCTATCGATACAGTCACCTCCATACAAACGCATTGACTAAGTAATTACATAAATAAAGTACTTTGTAATTTACTGTTATTTAAGCAGCCCTGTCATTTTTTTTGTATAAAAGCAAGGCGTCGTTTTTATCCAGACATTGCCGATTTCATCAGGCTTACAGCTCACCGAACACTTCCTGCTTGGTAAGATATATTTCTTTAAATCTTTATTTTCCATAGTTTTGAACCCAAATTTTTGTTGTTCGTTGTTAGAACTTAAGCAGCGTCTTACAAGGATGTCGTTGACCCTTTAGCAAAGATGATAGTTTTTAAAATCTTTTTTTGTTTGTTATAGAAGTGACCATTTCTTTTTCGAGCAAATAATTCTAAAATTAAGTCCTTTTCTTCAAGCTTGAATGAAAAACACTGTAACTGGTGCAATGAACAGATAAAAACCTTTTCAAACTAATTTCTGCGATGGATATTTCTCCTTCTGCAACGTCAGCATCATTTTTAACACAAGTCAGAAAATTTCAAACAATAAAGTCATTGGTCCATCTTAAAATCAATGAAATCAGGGCAAAGTAAAATTTGCTTAGGGATGTTTATGGACATGATAGAAATTTCTAACATTCTAACATTGAGCAAGTTGATTAAGTGTTATGGAAACTGAACATGTTTGAACGATTGCAGGATGATTTTCACCGATTTCTGACAATGACAACTGAAATTTTCATTATTTTCCTCCTTATTTTGTTTCCTGTGACCTTAAATGGCCTTAAAAATGGCATTCGCTGTTCATGACATTTCGTATAAAAAGTTAGTCTTAATGAATCTTTATAGTTGGAACATACAATCAGAAATACTTACGTGCGTGCATCTGTGTGTGTGTGTTTGTGTGTGTCTGTGTGTGTGCACGTAAGTATTTGTATATTTTTTAAATGAACATTATTGTATATTTTAAATGAACATTATAGCATAGAAATCTAAAGACAATTATATAGGATTTTTGCAACTTTGAGAACTGTTTTCAATAAATAAGTAATTGTAGAATTCTTTTTGCTATGGTCACATAATCCCGCCTTTTATTAAAGAGACGATATTTTTCTAGTAAAACTCATCTTTACAGTGATTTCATTGTGAAACGTAGCAAGAATATACATGTAATAATCTTATTTTTATGTTATGTGTAGATAGAGACATAAAAATTCCAGCTCATCTTTGAAAATAGACGACCCTGAATGTAAGAAAAATGCTACCGAACCAATTATTAAAGTATTAAGCTAAAGGAAAAGTTGTGCACAACAAAACTGTTTCTATCTTTCAAATTCTATTTTTGTTCGGCTAATTTTCAATCTTTTTAAAAATAACAAAATTATGAATTATTATGAATCTTTGAAAAAATCAATGAATATTTTATAATTTTTTCACTAATTTTTCAAATATCAATTAAACAAACATTTTGTACATGTCTCGAAAATGGTTTAAAATGCAAGACATTTTAAATGAAATTAATAGATACATGGAAAATGTTGGAGTTGCAATGCATAGCTGCAATTATTTTAATTCAAATTTAGCATTTAATGGCATTTTAGAACACCCTCCTAGGGTGATACATCCGTCGGAAGATGCTGATTTCAGATACTACAAATTATTGAAAGATTAATTAACAAAACATGCATTTATTACAGGCGTTTTAATTTGATTTTCATAACCTACCATTGAAAATTAGAGATCGTCTGTATGATTTGCAATCCTTGTGTAGTAAAACAAGAAAACATCTTAGAGAATATTTCCTATTTACTATTTGCACTACATCTTTTAGCCATAAAATATTTAATATTTATCTGAAAAGTGTATTCTCATTTTCAAATCTTGAGAATTGTGATGTTGGTAATAATATAAAATTCTAATTTATGTTTTTAAATTCAGATAACATAAAAAGTGTGTTTTTATGTATCAGTGTTTCCTAAAGTCGATTCTATGAGACACTGTGATTCCATTAAAAACATATGGCCTTGGTTTCGAGAGATAAAGTGTGTTTAAAAATTATTTTATACAAAATGGTATTCACTATTTGTACAATAATAAGTTAGGGGATTATATAATGAAGAGCCAACTTGAATTTTATTCAACTCAAGCCACTGATATTCTCAACTAACATCGGTTATCATGTAATAAATCAGCATTTTGACTGAAAAGTAAAAGAAATTCCGCTAATTCTTATTACCTAAATCTTCCTTTAAATTAAGATGTAAAAACACGTGGTTATAATTTCGTCAAAATCTTATTTTATTTAATTTAAACAAGGATAACCTTTACTTAAAATGTAAGAAGGCGATAAAAAGAAATAAAATATTTTCTCTAACGAAAAGATCTTTTCTTCAACAAGATTTTAGTGAAATTTTTATTTGTCAAAACTTGGATTTCCAAAAATAAATAAAGCTTTTATAAAATAAAACAAATAAAAACAGATTTTTAAAAAAAATTAACCTTTGTTTTTTATATGAATGAATCCTCTCATTAAAACATTTCTCGCTTCATTTTGTGTCTTACCAAAATTTTAATTGCGGCAGTGGTCTTTAATATATAGTTTTACAATTTTGGGGAAAATTTTACAACCAGTAAAGCATAAACAAAGAAATGGCAAAGTTAGTTTTTAAAGAGATAATATGATTTGTATTTTATCTCTAAATGAAGAGAAACAGAAAGGAAAAATACTTGCTCTAGATATGTTTTTAGATATAAAACAAAATATTACCCCGATATGAACCGATCGCTATCAAAGACATTGTGTACTTTGCGTTGTCACTTGGCGGCGTTGTTGATTTTCATGGCCATCGAATGTAGACGTCAGCATCATGGGAGGTAACCAGAATTGACGATGATTTCATCTAATCATAGATGTCGTCGTTGTGTACCCGCCGAGAAGTTAGGCGTGATTCATCAACACACTGTGGCAAATACTTTGTCTTCGGTGAAAACTAATTCCTCACAAGAAACCAACAAACTGGAAGTTTAATAAAAAAAATAATAATTTAAAGATATATAAGAGATTGTTACTGGTAGTTCTGTTTGACAACTTTTTAGCAGGAAAGTTTCCTAGCAATTCTTACAATTATAAGACACTTTGATTCTCGCAGTATATTTTTGTCTGTTCGGGATTGTGTATGTGTACTCGCTGGTTGCAATGGCTGGTGTTCTAGAAACAGGAACAATTCTGAAGTCTGAAGTGTCAATCTGCAGCGGAATTTTTCTCTACTGTTTGTCAAATTTGCTCAAATTCCATATTTCAGTCACCCATCAAATATTCTATAGAACTTTGTTCAATAACACATTTTCCTGTTTTAGAATACCATCATGTCGAATCTCAAGACTGAATTTTGGTAATGAAGTAAGCATTTCGGAAAGGTAGTATTTAATGTAAATAACCCGAGAATACTTTTCTGGAATTTGAGTAACTTCAGAAGGTATACATCTTTGGTATATTGCTCCAGAAGTGGCTAGGTCGTATGGAGAATATACTATATTTTATTGAATTCTACTTGATTTATTTCACTGCCGAATTCCCCAAGAGATTTCTCTGAATTCATTTTTTGGCTGCTAATGATAATAGAATTACAAAATAAGAGCTTCCTCAGTAAATTTAGGATTCACCAAAACATCATTAAAGTTTAATAATTGGCAGATTCCTAATGATTTTGGCGCGAGTCCGTCATCAAATTAAAATTAACGTAGCAAACTATAAATTGAAGAAAGGCTAAGGTGTTCATTCTTGGTCAGTAGATTTGATGAGAGTTCATGGGAAATCAAAATTGTTTCCAAGTTACCTGAAATTTCTGTGTATGGACATGATTCGTTGTGCTGTTTTGACAAATCTCTCGTGTTTTAGAAAGAAGCTGCCTCAACAGATGAAAAAGATCAAAAGTAATTTGTCTTCCAGTATCTTCTAAGCACGATTACACTCCTCCAAGGCAATCAGTGCACCTGTGTGCACAGCACACATATTTTTTATTGTCTGTTAAATTATTGCCTTTATGAAACATAAACATATTTTATGAACGCTACGCATATTTACAAATTTCTTTCTTTTTCCATCTTTTTTCTATATGTGTGTATATTTGAAGTATCATCATTTAGATGGAATATAGAAAATAACTGTAAATGTGTTCTTAAATAAATAAATCTGTCAGCAAACAGAATTATTAAAAAACAGAATTATTAAAAAAACAGAATAAAATGTTACCAACCCGTATTATATACCTGTATTATATCTTGTATTAATTAATTTCTGTTTTGTTCCTTCTTTATAGGTTTTGAATCTTATACGATGGACAAACTGACAGTTATTTTCGTAGCTTTGTTTGTCACTGCGGTGGTAGCAGCGCCCAACAATGTAATGACCAAACTCAAAACTCTTGGAAATGTCAAAAGGGCTGCATCTCTCCTGAAACCAGTGAGTATAAATTCTTTATTTCAAAATCTGCGTCTGTCATTGATTTCGCACACGATAGATGTAGGTCTTCAACCACAGGCGCAAATCGAGATACCCTTGTGGGGTTATATCAATGTAGAACGAAAAAATGAAAATGTTTTTCCATAAAAGAATATTTATAAATGTAGTTAAAGCTAAAATAGAAACTCGCGAGCCGTTTCAATTATGCAGAGAAAAATGTAGTTTAGTCAGCAATAACACTAAAATATTGTTTCGGCAAAGTAGAGGTAATCTGTTTATGAACTATGGATTGTTTTGTTGAAAAAAAAATGAGGCTTTGTTTATTTTCCTGTTTTGTTTTAAAGTATTTTCGATACAAACTCTTAAAAATGTCTTGTTATATATTTTTTCACTGGCGCTTCTACACATACAAAAGCAGAATTTTTCTTTTTTAAATCTAGTAACCCACTTACCGTAAATTCTATCTGTCTATAGCTCAATTAAGTGATCAATTATTTCTTTTAATACTTCCTTCATCCCTATAAATATTATTCAGAAGAAACCGTACACTCTTATTTTTATTTTATATCATACACTGCAAATCGAAGTCTGTCAAATATCTGCTATGTAATATTTCAGAAATGTAATGTCCATTATAGTATCTGAACTCATATAATTCAAGCCATCTTACCATGACAGCTTAGTGGATAAATAACAGAACTGATATGCGTTTGGGTATTTGCATAATAAGGTAAAGTATGCCACCTCTTTTCCTTTTTTTTAATGATTTCATACCAGTCAAGGCCACTAAGACGCAAGGGGATACCGAGTGGGATAGAATATGAGGAAAAATGAATTATTAAGGAGAGAGAACAATAAAAGAAGAGAAATGATGAAAGCAAAACATAACGATTGACATTGCATTTAACTTTTTGAAGACCAAAGTTAACCGAAAGCAAAAAACTGGAAGAAACTTTCACAAGTGAGAAGTGCAAGAGAAGAAACTGTTAGCACATAACTTATGGTTACATCTAGCAATTTCAACTGTAAAATAATGAAACCTTGCGGTCAATCTAGTACCATGCTTAAATTAATAAAGTCTAGGTGCCATCAGAACAATTACCATGAAAGTATTTATAGAAAAGCCAAAGAGAAATTATGTTACAGTGGGGAGTAATTCCCTGAAGCCGAGATAACAGGTCAGGAGCAATAACATTACATATTCTCCTTTATATTTTATCAAGAATCTCTAAATAAATAACAGTAGCACCAAGTCCAATTTGCAGCAATATTCTATGCATGGGCGAGTGGACCAACTTTCTTAGTAGCAGGCCTAGCAATTGATTCAATCTTTTCACTTCATGTCAGCGGAAATGTTGATAGACGGAAAAAGGGGTTGTTCTCTTAGATTAAAAAAAGAGCATTTTTGTTTGGGAAGTGCTAAAATTAACAAGCCATTCCTTGCTCCAGTTAACAACAGATTGTTGGTCATTTTTAGATCAGCTGCCAATTTGATCTTATCGAACCGATCAGACTTACTATTAAGACAGGATGGTATATTAGGAACAACTTAGGTTCAAAGACACATGGATGATACCTGCATTAATGCAAACAAATCTAGAAGAGAAGACAACTTTCAATTCACTATTTCATAAGAAAGATTGTAACAGTTCAAAAGTTAGCCCTGGAATAATATAATATTTCATAACTTGTGAAGAAGACCAGCATACCAAACCCTGTCAAATAGATATGTAAAGCAACAGCCCGAGCTTCGCCATTCTTATGCTTGGTAGACTGTTCCAATGATAATCGTTAATACATCAGTAGTTGACCTAGAGAATCGCGGTGAGATGCTTAATCAATTCAGAGTTGATTAGAGTCTAAAGTACTTTGCCAAAAAGAGGTAGAAGGTTAACAGGCTGATTAGGATGAAACTATTTGCCTTCCTTGAAAACTGAAACTATAGAAGAGGGTTTTCAACGAGCGGGACAGCAAAAAGCAGCGAGGCATTTGTTGTAGAATTTAGAGAGAACAGAAGCCAGTTCAGGAGCACATTCTTTAAGGACTAATGCAAGGATACCAACATCTCCAAATGTTTTGTGGGTTTCCATTTTAGGGATGATAGTAGAAACAATGGCTTGAGTTAGAACCGAGTCTCTATTGAGTAATATGTATATAACTCAAGCCATTGTTTCTACTATCATTTCTAAACTGGAAAGTCACACAAGGATACTCCATATGTCAAGATTTACGAGCAAGACATTCTGCTTTATCAGCAGATGTAACACCTCAAACTGAGTGAAGAGAGTGGGAATAGAAGACTTTCTCTTATTAACAAACTATTACGCTGCTGTCAGTAGTCATGAGAACCAAACTTCCTAGAGGCTATACAGTGCACCATTCTATCGCCATACCTCTCATTAACTTTACATATTGCTTTCCAATAATCGGGCAATGTGGTGGCTAAAGTCTGAGCTCAAGTAAAAGCCACTCTTTCAAATGTTGAATTTGAAGTAAAGCAGGCTCCATCTCCACTTGAAAATTTGTCACATCACTCTCTTACCCACGTTTCATTTAATTTTGTGTCAAATAATGTGTAGATAGATAGATAGATAGATAGATAGATAGATAGATAAAACATATGTACAAATAGTGTAAAGAATGATTTTTTCCCTTATTTTAGCTTCACTCACTTAACCAAGAGGCGACTGATATGGATGAACTCAAAATGGCAATGGTACTTCTAGATAGGAACAATGACGATATGCTGGATGCCGATGAACTAAAGTATTTGTTTTCAAGTACTAATGTCCCTCTTGATCTTTTAGACGAATACGTTGAAGCCTTGATGGTTTTCGACGAAGATAATAACCGGATGCTGGATATCAACGGTAAGTCGATTTTTTCTCAAGGAGCGCTTTTTCTTTGCGACCCTTTTGTAATTTGTCAAATAATAAAACATTTTTTAATTATCCTTTATCAGACCGAATAGGGTTTATCAATGTATTAATTTTTTTTATTGATCATTTTTCAGAATATCTCTCTCCACACAACTTTCTCCTCTTCTCTCTACTTAAGTCGATAAGCTTTCACATCTTTGTCTCGTCATTTTCCATTATTTCTGATTTTACGAGGATAAGTTTGATCTAAGAATGTAAAATCTAGCCGACATTAATGTATTCATTTGTTTAAAAAATGCATCAATGTTTAAACAAAAATCTCTTTACCAGTGATTCAATTCTTTAGCCATTTAACCCTAACACTAACCCCAAAAGCTGCGCATCACACAAATTTATAACAGAAAAAATGATGATAACATAAAAAAAAATATAAACTGGCATTTTATTAAAAATAAAGTTTATTATTTGTTTAACAAATATTAAGAAAGTATTTTTTCTCGGAAATATTTTTAAGCCAAATCCCTACATTGTTACACTTATATCATTATATGTCTTTATTTTTATTTTCAGAAATGGCAAATATTATGAAATTCGCAAACCTCTAATCCTGAAAATCTTTCAATACTTTTGTCTCACATTAAATATGAAATAAATGTTGCAAAGCAAAACTCAAATTTCTTTACCGTTCTTTTTTCATTGTTCAAGTCATTCTTTTGTTTGTAGCCTTGAAAAATATTGAAACACCTTTTAATAATGTGCTTTTTAAGACGTTTATCGTGTGTGGTAAGAGACAGAATGATGAAGCAATTTCCAGGATCCTATCACGTGATGAGAGAGTTATATTATGAATTTATAAATATTTAGGAATATATTTACTATATTAATCAACACAACTGTCTTTCATGTAATTATCACTTAAGTTGGAAACGAAGAAAATCAAATCTGGAAGGAAGAAAGAAAGTAAATATTCCTTTCAAACATTACAATCTTAATGCAAAAACAGTTGACTAACAACAAAGCATTCAAGTAGTGTAGTACTACTGAATTATTAGCACGAAGAAAGAAGCAAACGATTGGAAATGAATTGCATTATGTCGAAAAGTAGATGATGATCATCGAAAAATTTCGCTAATGCAAGTAAAGCTCTATTACCTAAGATCATGTTGTGGCTGCAAATATTTTAAGCACATCCATTTACATCAAACAATGAAACACGAAAGAATGTGTGCCTGGAGGATTGAATGTTGCATTCTACTGATGCAGACAGAGACATGCTTACAGTTAAAACAACAATATAAAGGAAAACAATTTAAAGAACTTTGAGAAGTCAAATAAATTTTAATTCTTTATTATTACTGTAATCATTGTAATGATTTATTTCATTCATGTTTCACTGTTGTTCTTGATATTCGGTCCTGAAGCTAAATAATAATCTGTGCGTCTGTGAATTTGTGTGTTATTAATTTTGCTGTGTCACCCTTTCACTTGTTGATAGCTTCCATGCCTTGACACCATTCTAAAGAAAAATAAATAAGAAATAAAAATAATCAACGATAAATAAAAATCTGCTGCTAATGAAAACTGCTTTTCATAAAAACAATTTACTTTATGAATTTCTACTTTTGGTAAAAAATGCAATTAAAGTTAAAGAAATTTGGCTCGTTTAAATAAATTTTAGTCACAGAGAAAAGAGACGAACGCAATTTTTGCAGAATTAACAACTACATGAGATAAGGAAACTTTATTCACTACAATTTCATATATGACTCAGTGGTTTTCATGGTTTAAAATAAGTATCAAGGATATAAGTTCAGATTATTTAAAAAAATATTTGAATACGTATTACGCCGATATGGTAATTGACTATGTCGGGGTTCCTTCAAAATCAAGAGCGATTAAGAACCGGAAGGATTGTAGGAAAAAGAAATCTCATATGAGCAGTGTCAGATTTGATGAGAGTAGAATCAGTTCGTGGGGCTCATGAGAATTTTGCGGTAGAAAGTTCATGCAAATGAATTGTCTGAGTCCGTGCACTAATTAGTTTTGGATATGATGTTAGGGATTAGGTTGTACAGGAATTTTTTGAAAATGAAGAAGTATTTTGCTAGTAGAGAAAAAGGACGTCTGGGTGCTGAATGAGCTTGAGGAACACTGCTCTGAATAGATTTCACGGTTTGTTTTCAATTATATTTCCATCCATGATGGAAATATAATTGAAGTACGTAAGTTGCGCAAAATACATATTTTCATTTCTACTACGAGTCTGTTCCTTTCGTCATACTTGTTGTTTTTGTGCTGGAAACGCAACAACTGATTTATTTCTTCTGCTAAAATGTTTTTCTCTCGCTAAATTTAGACTTTAACTGATGGCGTTGAATGAACTTTCCTTTGCTATTAACTCGCGGTTTCCATTACATCTCCGTTAAAATACTTTTTTCGTCTGTTTTATTTTTTTATTTTTTTTATTCATTTTTGCTTTGCTTCGAAAATCTCTTTTATGCTTTTTGCCCAACTCAAAAGAAATGAATAATACGCCGCTGCTTTAGATTTACCTCTTGTTCGTCAGAGCGGCCCTACTTCTCTGGTGATGAGAGGGTGCGGTTTGTGTAAAAGCAGATTTACGACGTTCTGCTACACTATTTTCGATAATCATGAATGAGACAACGACTGATAAAACGTGTAATGAAAATGGGGCTGCAAACATTAAAACAGTAACTTATAAATCATTAAATAATTCCATATTCTGTTCAATGGTTTTAATCGGATAATTACTGTAAAGAAAGGACAGAAAACATTTTATATTTTGTTTTCCGTAACGATTTAATTTTTTATCAAGTTAAACTTCAGTTCAAGGCTGTATTATTTATTCTTGTTGGAGTTGTTTAGGAATACATTAAATAAAATTTGTAAATTTAAAATAATTATTTTATCGATTTCTGCTTCATTGAGAAAAATAATTAAAATAGATATTAATTCATTTTGCGTTGTAATTATATGTGATTACAATTACATGAACCGTAAGTTAGTTTTAGGCAACCTCTTAGTTAATGGTTACCGAAAACATTTCAATTGATGGTTTAAAACGTATGAAAGTCAGAAACAGAACATTAAAAAAGAGCGATCGAACTGTTAATATTCACTCATGCACTGTGCATGAATGTTACGCTCTATTTCGGAAATAAAATTGAAAAAAGAAGGACGACATTTATCTTTCAGGTTTATATTTTCAGTGACCATTGCCACTCTTCTGTTGAAGAGATATATTTTAATATCAAGTAGAATCGATGCAATGTCGAGATTTTGAGTAAAAGAAAAATGTTGTGTTCAATGATCACAGCACGAAATACATATGTTCACTTGTTTTATTTTCTATACTGTCTTAGTATGAGTCTGATATTTTTATTTATTTTTTAAATTAACCAAAAATACACATTAGAACCAAATTGATGAAATTAATAATTACATCAATGTAAGATAGTAGTTTTTCTGCATTTATTTTTCTTTTACTAAGTAATCTACGATGTGCACAAAAACTTAAATGTACTTGAAGCTCTTTTAAAACTTTCAGACTGAAGATTTTATATCAGATTTGTAATGTAACAGAATTAACTGTCTTTATAGTTTTGTATGTCATTTTGAAGTTTTTAATATCTCACTTTGAAGAGATGTCAGCTTCTACTCTGGTGCACATTGACAACTATATTTAGAGATGAATATTCGTGAAAACCAAATTTTATAAAATTAAGAAAATATAACTTTAAAATTGATAAAAGAAACAAGGCTTGTGTAAGAAATTTCTTTTTAATATTTCACATCTACACACACATTGATTAAAAATTTCTCTATTTCTATGAAGAAACGTTTAGTCCAGGAAGGTGAGTTCAATATCGAAGGCCTGACGTTGGCAGTCACAATATTTAAATTTAATGCCCAATATCTATCTATCTATCTATCTATCTAACAATAACAAAGATTGTGTTTCGCAAAAAAGAAAAAAGATCGATCCAGAGTATTTTTGGAAAATAACGTTTTTAAGGTAAGCAATCTTTGTAATTTTAGTGCCCTATATGGACAGATAGAGATAACAGCCACTTTTCAGAAAAATTGATAATAGAATTACATATTTTATTTATTTCTATTTTATTTCTAACCCTAACCCTTGCCATCGTATCGCCTGAGGAGTGGATGCAATTTCCTCCAAAGTAAGGGTAGTGAAAAGATAATTGAACATTTAATATTATTTATTATTATTATTATTCTCTGTCTATCTCTATCACACACACACACACACAAATATATATATATATATATATATATATATATATATATATATATATATAAATCAGTATATTACATATATAAATCAGTAAATATAGAAAAATTGAAAGAATGTGTCTTCTCATCAGACTTATTCAGCCGACACAGTGAAGCGATTTTTGAGAGAACTCATTATTGGCAGCTGCAATCTTAACAACATAAGATATGCAAATGATACAGTTTTGATAACAAACACAGAAATGAAACTTATAAGAACTCCTACAGAAGACAGTGAAGGAAAGCGAGAAGAAATCACTGATAAATATTTCCTTATTCCTTGCCTGCCCGAATCGTGATACCCCCCCCCCCGCTAAACACACTCAAAGTCAACACACAAACACACCAAGTACACACAAAAACCTCATTAGAACTTGTTTTCCCGGACATATTTTTTCTGCCTTATTTTATTTTTTGTTTCTTTAATTTACTTAACATTATAATCCACAGAAAAAAGAGTTCAAAGTCAAGATTTAAAAGATTTAAAGCTATAAAGGCGAAAAAAAATATATTCTTTGGAAATCAGAATTAAAATGGTTTAAGATTTTTTTAAAGAGTTTTGATAGTTCAAGCAAAATCTGTTCGCCTGATTCAAGTTGTTAGAAGTATTTGGCCTTATTGAGCTAGAATTTCGGGACCCTGAAATCACTTTCATTAGTTAATTTTTTTCTTCATGTAACATTCTTATGAATGTTTTCAGCAAAATGTATTTAAGTTAACATTTTAGAGTATGAAATCTATAAAATTTAATAAATTGAAACGATTCGAGATTATTTTATTCTTGATGGTTCATGCTACGATTTTGGATCCAACAGAAATCAAGTACAATTTTGTTGCTTTGAAAAAGATACACTTAGCAGTTGGATTACTCGGGTTCAACCAACTACCCTGGAGACGCCACTAAGATATTATTACCCGTATATCTCTATATTATATTGTTTGACTAATTAAGAAGTTATATTTACAATTATCAGATAAATCTTTATTTGCCAACATTCAAAATATTTTCCCAAGTTTATGTTTTAGTATTTAAAATAACAGCTTATTACCATATTTACTTACTTTTAATGATGTCCATTTATGAAGCATATCGCCAAATATTCCTCAATTCTGAAAAGAACATGAAAGAATTCGACGTATTATAACCAATCAAATATTTTATGTCCTCTTAAATTATTATGCCAAAATGTTTGTTAATGTGATAAAATTTTAAACGACGTATCCAAAATAGGTCTGTCTGATTAGTCTACATGTACAGAACTGGGCTACCTTTGAAAGATCAGTACCTTTAAATTTTACATTCTTCTGTTCGGTCGCCTAGATTAGCTAAGATTACCCTAAATATAATGCGTATAGTATAGTCATCGGCGCGGAAATTAATATCAACGATCCGAGTTCAAATTCCACCTAATACTGATGCGTTCACTTTCGCACCTTCTTGAAAAGCATGAATCCATCTCTTCTCCTCCAAGCTATGGGTTATATGTCAGCAAAGAAGTGGACTTGGGTGGCAAATAGTCTATGAGAAGGAAAACTTTGAATTCCAAAATACATGGAGAAGGAAACGAGAAACTACTCATCTATTTTTTCAAAGAACGCGTGGTAATTCACAGATTATAAAGAAAAGGAACATGTGGAGAACCATGATCACCTACGTTTCAAATGAACATAGTATTTTTATATTTTTATTATCGAAATAAACATTTAGATGCGTTCAATTTTCAAAAGTCGTTTGGTCAGATTTTGGTAAATGGGTCAAGTCGAGAACTCTCTCTCTCTCTATATATATATATATATATATATATATATATATATATATATATATATATATATATATATATATATATATATATGAAAAGTTTCTCAGAGTTAACCTGTAGAAAAAGACAATATGTATAAAGGTAAAAGACTATAGCCGATGCGTTTCGTCCAATGTGGACTTTTTCAAGGCAAAAACGAAATGAATTTATTGAAAGCAAATAAAAAAAAATACTGTTTTATTGTTGTGATGAAGGATTCAACCATTTTCTTTTGATTTCTTGATACAATTTTGTACATTGGCTTGGGAGAGTAGTAATTCTGTTAGGAAAGGGGATATTGGAAAAAAGCCTGAGCGTAGATTAATATTTGGATAATATTCAGTGGCGGCACTCTCGAGGATTTTCCTTCTGAGTGACAAAAACGCACCAATAAGCACAAAAGAGACCTCACAAAAAAAAAATTAGCTAATGCACTAGTCATACATAGAAATAAATTCAACCACAATTTTGATTTTAAAAATGCTACACTCATAGAAAAGAAAGTAACTGACTGTGGTCGCGGAAAGGAATTAATATACGCCAGATATCAAAGGAAACAACAACAACAACAACAACAGCAATAATAATAATAATAGTAATAATGTTCAAAAGTATTAAATGAAAACAACCCTGGAAAATTATTTTTCTGTAAAAACTAAATAAATACAGAACTAATTATAATTAAAAAGCTTGCAATGGTCTAAGAAAATGTAGTTTTTAACGTAGTGTATTGAAGTGAAATAGATTACAAGGTAAAAAGGGCATTAATTTGTTTAATTATTGTTAATAAGAATAAGAAGTCTAATAAAATTACAATTGGTAAAAATTGATTCGATGAATGTTCTATGATCATATATTTTTTATATTATCCAATATCGTTAACTAATAAGGACATATTATTTCTGAAATTGAAGTGAAGAAAAAAAACAAAAATTTGAACGAATTTTCAAATATTCAAATATTTAAAAATATCTCCATAAAATTCCATTAGAATATTTTTCTTTATACAATAATAATCATACATCAATTTTTCCATATCATAAATATAAAATATGCAAATAAAGCTGAAAATTCACCAGAAAGCAATATTGTACTTTATGTGCAATTATTAAAATCTCTAATGGAAGACATGTGTAGGAGTTGTCTGTTGGATTTTAGCAAATAAAGTTAATAGAATGTATTTCTCCAAGTAATTATCTCCGAAAATATGCAAAAAATATTGTGTGTTTCAACGTGTCAGACTTTAAAGTAAGCAATTGAGGATGATTAAACAAAATACATTTGTGAAATTTTTATAAAGGAATCTTTTCCTAAACAAATGTAATAAGTGATGAAATAAATACAGAAAGATTTACTGAAATCTCATACTTATAGAATTTCTGGAGTTCTATATATGGAGCATCAAAACTTTCAATATTAAATTTCATTGATACATTTTAACAAATGTAAAAATATTTTCGAAAAATTTCTCCATACTGTATACAGTTTTTCGGTTAAAGGCTTCTTTGTAATGTCACAAAGATTCTGAAAATAGACTTAATTTTTATAGACGCACGTTATTTAAAAAAATGTTTTTGACGTTCTTAATAAAATTGAAGCTAATTACCGTCTTTGTTCAATCTGTTATCTCGGTCACGGTCAATATACCTCAGTATTTGTTTTCGTTCAGTCGAAGTGGCACCCATCTCCTTAAAAAGAAAGTGCATCTCCCCAGAATCGATGAAACCATCATTATTATGATCAAACATGGCGAACAGGAAATCAGTAACGTCTTCTTCCCTTCGATCTTTATTCTCAATATTCTTTAGCAGCTGTGGTAGACAAAACCAGAAATAAATAGAAAAACTCGAAGTGTCATGAAAATGTTTTTTTTTTATACAGAAGCTCTCCATCTTACGAACAGAATAACTTTTAGTGTTCAAATGTTCAAAAGTAAATAAAAATAAAGATAGTTTTTACTATTCATTATTGCATAATGAAGATATCTGTAATGGTACTTTACTTACTTTATTTCTGATACTTGCTGGAACTGATGATGTTTAAGAAAAATTAAAACAAAAAAAAAATGTTTATTGAGATATTATTTCATCTACTTCGACTGATATATTCAGTAATAAATACTTGTGCATTTAATTATTACGAAGTAAGTTTTGTTTCCATTGCTAAGAGGCAAGTAGATTCCCGGTGTCTTTTGAGTGGGAGGTTGTTAGCACCTAAAGATCATTGGTCTGATTTGATGCTACTGAAGAAAATTGTGAAAGAAAAGGTTTACATATTTTTATAATGTAACGTGCAAAGGAGAAAAACGACTTAAAATGTTTCCATAGAGCTAAGAGTATGCAATACGTTGTGATGCCTTACCAGTCTCCTACTCATTTTGAAGTTTTACCGCTCAATCTGAACTAATTACATTGCTACCTAGCAGATAAGGGAGATTAAAAACTGGTTTCTAATTATGTAAATTATAGTATATTACCTTACTCTTGTAAAAAGTTAACAATTCCACCTCCCTAATAACGGATATTTAAGCAAGGACATTAGTAATAATTCGTTATGGTGTTCAAAATGTAAATTTAAAGAAAGTTTTTTTTTTCGTATCACTGAAAGTGTATAATTGAACGTTTGTAAAGTAAAAGAGCGCATGTATCTCATATAATAAACAAATGGTGTTATACAAAATAATTTATTACTCACAGGTCGAAAAAAACTGTCAACGTCTCTACGGAATTTGCTCATTGATTTCATTGACTGCAACATGTTGACCAGAGGATCAACTTCCTCCTCCAAAACTTCTTCATCTGTTCTGACCGCTACCAGAAATAAGGCCAATATGGCCAATATCTTTATATTCTTCATTAGCTGGAAAATATAAATAAAAATATCGTTATTTACAGTGGAATGTATGTTATCCGATAGTAACGGATGAATTGAGTTCAGATAATTCATTGTTCAGATAAAGGATTCAATCCTTAAGTAAGAAAGCCATACCGGTCACCTAAGAAAGCAAGTCTGAAATTATTTATTGTACTAAGGTACAAATGTGGCACAAGGCCGAAAAAGGGGTTGGGGTAAAAGGACGGTCATCACTTGTCTTAGATTAAAACTTAGCTAGCCACATCCACTGACCCTATCATACTGAACAATATTCCTTTCACCAAAACAACACATTTAACCATACCTTCCATACTACATACACCAAAATGCCTCTTTGACTCCATGAAAAACCTAAATAATCCCCTTATGTACAAATATTGTCTGTGGGGGAGGGGCATAAAAACAACAACTTCTAAAAAAAGATCCCCAATGAAATATATACAAAATGACAGAATAATATTTACAAGAAACCAAATAAAATTAGTGTTAGTAATAAAACCCCCCACAAACTATTGAATGTGGCAGAAATATCAGTTAACCAGAAAGCAAGTCTGAAGTGCTTGCTTCTATTCATTTGATAAACATGTAAAAAAATTTCTTCATAAGAATACGACATATTTCAATAGGCTTTTTAATCCTTCATTTTATTTTCTTACGTATTAAGATTATTTTAACACTGTTGAAGAGGCCAACTGTCACCAAACCAAACGATCACTTTCAGAGAGACATGAGAATGGCAATAAGCCAATGAACTTTACTTATAACAGATTTTTAGTTGGGACAAAATTGGGAAAATAAATATACTTGAAGTTTTATTCGGATAATCGATATTCAAATAACCAACGTTTCGCTGAAGTTGTTGATTACTGTGTGTAAATAATATTGCATAATATATATTTCAATATTCAATTAAGCCAAAACAAAAATGTCCACAAATATGTATTATTATTGTAATTTTTTGTCAATGGATACTGTAAATCTATCTGAAATAGAAGCTTATTTATTTCTACATTATTTATACATATAATCAATTACAGTACAAGTGGTGATTTATAATTTCGACCTTTGCACGAAAATTACTCCATTTAAAATAATGTTGATAGATTTCATTGTATAGAAAAAAACGAAATAAGACTTTCTTCTTTCCTATCTTCTCTATGTTTATAATTTTATGAACTTGAAGACATCAGTATGAGAGATGTTCAAGTTTGAAGCGATCAAATGATCACGTTAATGGTTAATGTTACGGGAGTATGCTGGTCGTGTGTTTAGGTGGGAAATACTTGTCTCTTGGTATATTTATTCCGCAAAAAAATGACGGACTCGAATGTGAGTTCGGGTAATAAAATATAAAGTAACAACAAAAGTATATGTATAAAAAACGACACTATATATATTAACGAAACAAAGATATACATTAAAAATAGGAAATTATTGCGTGTTCCAAAACAATGAATATGAAAGAAGAAAACATTTAAATTAGTGAATTGTTTGTGTGTGTATAGTTTGGTGTAGGAGAAAGAAATCAAGTGAAAGGTGCGTATGTGTGTGCGTTCACCAGTGGGAAAGCGTTTTCCTCGTTCGGCCTAAATGAAAAATTATGTCCCTGAAAATGTCCCTGAAAATGTCCCTGAATGAAAAAGGAAAAAGTGACTGACAGAGAATGTTACGACCTATTTATAGTCTTAATAAGCGTCCCCTAGGGGTGTTTTTATGAAAGCAAATGGGGTAACTCCACACTAACTTCTGCATCGAAATTTATATTTTTGTTGGAGTGAAAAATTATTAGCCCCAATATTAGCCCCTTAAAATGAATGGTTTACAATGAATGCTTTAGAAATTTGTTTTTATAATTTTCATTATTCTTTTAGAATATGAATAAGTTTTCCGTAACGATCGATTATCTCAAAAAAATCAAAAGAATGTATTTAATAGGCTTATATCTAAAGATTTCAAAATACGTTTCTTTACAACAGTAAAATGAGCCAAACATATATTTGTCACGAGTTCTTTGATGACAGAGTTAGTATTAATAAGTGATGTATCTAAACCATGCAATAAAAAGCTACACTGAGTCCAGCAGACTGAAACGCTACTTTAGTTCATTTATTTAGATTTCCATGCCGTGTATTTCATGGAACATGAAACTTTAATAAGGAATCGAGATTACCAAAATGAAAAACAGATCTTGAATATTAATCACTTTGATGTATTAAAACTGTAAAATTACCCACCAAGTATTGTCATGATCCCTAAAACCTTTTTATATATTAAAAGCGACATTATCATCTGACATATTTTTTAAGCATTTCAACAAGGCAGAGCCTACATGGAGTCAAAGTAAGGGAGAAGGCTGGGTATAGAGGGGATTGAAGAAAAGGATAAAAAGAAGAACTTGGATCAAAGCATCAGAAGATGTCGATTGACATTACACTTAAATTTTTGAATATTATAATTATCAGGGAAGCAAGTAAGAAGAAAGGAGTTCCACTGTTGAGAAATGCGGGAGAAAACGTTGTTGGAGTAGAAGAGGCGGTTACATTTAACGTTTTTGACAGTAAAAGGGTGTGGCCGAGATGTCAGCCTAGTAACACGCTTAAATTCATGCAGTCGGGGCACCAGTTAAAATAGCTCGTCAGAGCAGATGCCATGAAAATATTTGTAGAAAAGACAGAGGGAAGCCACGTCATGTCAGTGAGAAGGTGACTGGAGTCGAAACTCCAAGTCAAGACCGATCACAATGCATATCCGTCTTTGGATTTTCTCCAGAGTCCTTAAAAAAGAAACGAGGAGGACTTCCAACAGGCTGGAAAGCTGGAAGCAACGAGACAATATTTCTATAGTTTGGAGCTAAGCTCAGGAGCACATTTGTTTAGAACAATGGCTGGTATCATTTCACCCGCTACTTGCATTATGGGAGTTTAATTTAGAAATGATGTCCTAGACCAACGGCGGTGTTATGCACATATAATTCAATAGAACCTCGGTTCGAGGCGGGGAAATCGGGTGTGGGCACACCGGATGAGTTAAGGGTTGAGGAGGATGAGAATTTTCGAGCAAAGAATTCAGCCTTACCTGCTATAGATGTTAGGACTTCGAATTGATTGAATAGAGGAGGGATTGAGGATTTGCTGTTGTTCAGCACACTATTGGCAGAGCTGTCAATAATCTCTAGAGCCAAACTTACGACATGCTATACAATATTTCATTCTAACAGCAAACTAACTTTGCTTCATTAAGCACTAGCTTACACTCGTTAAGGGCAGAGACAAAGAGACATCTGGTTCAAATGGAAGAAGTGATTCCTGTGAGCTATAGCGGCTGAACAACCAAGTGAGAACCAAGGAAATGAATGCGGTTTAACTAGGTTTCTTCTTACTGAAATGAGAGCATGGATACCTGCTTTTACCCAGGAGGAGACCTCAGACACGCATTTTTGAACGAGATGATTAAAAACTACATTACAAGGGACATCACGAAGGAAGGAATCCCAGTTGCGTCATTGATGACGGAAACATTCTGTTGGTAAGAGGTTCTTGGCTGGTTGGGGTGCAGGGGATATTTTTACAGACACTACACGTGATAAGAGCTGCCAAGAGGACAGAGTTGCGTCACGTGACAAGAATCAGGGATAGATGTAAATCTGAGATCGAGAAGAGAAGCGTTTCTGTCAGGGTTACTTGGGAAACGCGTAGGAAAGTCAACCTCTTGCATGATTGAAAAGTTAAGGGTTTGGATGCCAGCGGGATCAGTGACAATGTGTTTAAACCGCCTGGTATGGTGGGCGTTAAAATCACCGAACACGAATGTTTGCAGACGGGTTTAGTGAGATGGCCTTGTCAATATTATCGGAAATACTATCTAGCACGTGACAGCCATGAGAGGAAGGAGATCGGCAGAGAATGAAATAGCTGGCTGAATTAAGGAGAGAGAGAGAGAGACAAAGAGAGACAGAGAGAGACAGAGAGAGAAAGATATACGGGTGGTCCCAGAGAGTGTTCCCTAGCGGGCATAAACTCCTAGGCCGGACATATGGACTTTCTAATTAGAGGAAAATTACCAGGAATCGATAAATCAGAGGAGGGAATTGACGAGTTAAGATTAGTTTCACAGAGTGTTAGGATGACCGGAGACTACATTACAAGGGACATCACGAAGAAGAAAGATTTCACACTGCTGAAGTTGGTATGAATTCCACGAATGTTGAGAAAAATGAGGTTACCCAACCCCTCTCCTCCACTACTTCAAAACTATGGCGCTGATATGGCCTCTACCAGAATTTCACCTTATATATACAAAAATTCATGCCAACCGTCATAGTCGAATCCTTTCTTTTCGTTTTTAATGTAATAGTAATGTGAAGAAATCTCCCTTGATAATTTTAGTACAAGCCTGTCAAAAATAATTTACTTCCCAGAATCAAAATCTGTTGAATAATATCACATAACGTTAAAATAATTCGTATTTAACAAAAGAATATCAAAACCTAAGAGTGAAAATTATATTTTAATTTTTATGGTTCTTTTTAATTTAATTTTTTAACCCAGAGTATGGAATTAATTTTTATGTTTTATCTGTAATATTCAAATGTAATGTACATAATCCGAATTATTGCAGTAAATTCTGTTTTATTTTCATTGCAACATTGCAACTATTGAAGTGTCTGAAATTTGGATATTGAAATAATTGATATATAAAGAAGAGATTTCCGATTTTATCCTAAAAATTACTTACAAAATATAATATAATTTCGAAAGGAAAGAACGAAAAAAGATTTATGACATGAGGTGGCATTTTATTTTCAAAAGTAGTTAAAGAATTACGATAATAAACAATATGAATACGAAAATAAGGCAAAAGTTGAAAAAAGAAGTCTCTAAGTTTTGTAAAATTTTAAACGCTCGTAATCATTATTCAGCTGTTACTTTTTTAAATTAAGCGATGTATAAAAGAAAACAGTAAGAAAGTTTCGGGTTCAAATAAAATCCATTTAGAGTATCTGTTTGCAGAGTATTAAACGATGTCTCCCGGGTAGAAATGACATCGTGCATATTATGATTAGACTATTGTTACAAAGACAATGACTTCTTAATATCGTACAATAGCAAAATGTAGGACTAATTATTGAGGAATCATAAAAACAGAAAAAAAAAAGATAGAGTAAACTAAATGTCCGTATAATCGCTGACCTGCATACAAGGAAGCAAATTAATGAGAATGAAAACAGAAAAGTTGTCATATTATACTGACAAAAGCAATAAAACACAAGACATAAACGAACAGCGAAAAATATCTGCTTTTTCTTAAATCTTATGTGTGTGTGTGTGTGTGTGTGTGTGTGTGTGTGTGTGTGTGAGCCAATAATCTTATTAAAAAAAATATTTGTCTTTTTAAAAACAAAATAATTCATGTACTTACATTAAACCAAAATCGTTTGAAATTTCTGGTTATCGAAAGAGTAAAATCCTTTCGTCTGTGCCTCGACTGCAAAGTGAAATCCAATAGAGCAATTCGTTGGTTTTTAAATAAGTAGCACCAATAGTTAAAATACAGGAGACTTTAATTTATTTTTTTATTTGATAAAAAATAATATAAAGGTGGGAGGTGACCTTTAAATGGGGGATTTTGTATTTAATCAAATATGATTGCCAGTATTATAGGAAGGATGTGATTCCGCATGGGAGGATATAAATGAGACACAGAGTTGAACTGAAAATGTCGTGAGAATCTATTTAGCCTTTTGGATTATTGGTGGCATCAGATCATACAGAATTGGAAGAATTGTTATGCGAGCAAAAAGCGTGAAAGGAAAATATCAACGAATAATTAACCTACAACGGAAACTCTAAATATATGTGAGGAAAGAGGATGGTAGCGAGAAGAACAATGTAATGTGATAGAATAATATAGAATAGATAGATCTTTGGTTATATAAGCCCCGAATATTTTACAAGACTTAAAATGTACTGTTGCTTATGTGAGGAAAGAGGATGGTAGCGAGAAGAACAATGTAATGTGATAGCATAATATAGAATAGATAGATCTTTGGTTATATAAGCCCCGAATATTTTACAAGACTTAAAATGTACTATTGATTAAGCGTATTTTGAGAATTTTTAAAAATCTATGATTTTATTGATTTCTTCATTCTTTTCTAAAATTTGAGCACTTGTTGCATCGAATACTACACTGTTTTATATTATGTTCAAAATTGACATACATAATAAATTTTAAAACTGTATTGATGTTCTGAATGTTCCAAAGAGAGAGTTTAGTCATTGCATGTTTTTACTTGCACAAAGACATAACCTGGTTAAATCCGGAATATAAAAATATTGTCATAACATATTGGAGAAACTCAAAACTCCATTTGGTACATTAAATGAGAAATAAATATAAAGATGGACTAAGAAGCAATAAAAAAGAAGGCTTGTTCGTTCTTGTCTGTATCTTATTATTGTAATTCAAAATATCAGACGTCAAAACTTAAATTTAATGTTGAGATTCATTTTACCTTTAAAGTTTCGATGCAACCTACATTTGTTGCATTTCTCTTCCTCCTTTTCCCTCTACATCTCCTACATTCCTTCAAAAAACAGTTATTAGTCTGAAGAAGTTCCTTCTCAGACCGAAATGCATCTCTAAGAATTTTTTTATTTTCTTTATTCACTTACACACACACAAAGAAACACACACAGAGCTACACACAGACACGCACAGGTACACACACACACACACATATATATATATATATATATATGAACTTTAGATATAACTAAAATATATCTGTAAAAGAACAATATGAATAAAGTCAAAAGGAAAACTTATCTTAGTTGACACATTCATCCTCTGATGGATTTTATCAAAGCAAATGTAAGAATTTTATTTTGCAACAAGTATTTATAAACAAAAGTAAAACTGTTAGTTGTTCAAGATTTTTAAATTTAAGAAACGCTCATAAATATTCATCAGACTAATTGAAAAGTTTAGGTAATTATAAAGGATGTTAAGTGATGTAATTTAATAAACAAAATTGAGTAAATGATGTTTTTAATTTTTTAATTTATTTATAATGTAATTAATTTTTTTTAATTATTTTAGTTTGGGATTAATTTATGTATTATATATTTAAAAAAAAAAGAACGTTATGAATTTAAACGTTACTTTTAATTTTTTAACATTTTTATAGTGATACATGTTGACTTGGGAAAGTAGTAATTCTTTCAGGAACAGATATATTTGAAAAAATCCGGAGTGTAGATTTATATTTTGATAAAATTCAATAGCGGCATTATCGAGAAGTTTTCGTCTAAGTAAGTTACTTTCTCTTTTCATGAGTGTGGTATTCTTTAGATCAAAGTTCTGGTTGAATTTATTTCTATATATTGACTACACTAATGCCTTTCATAAATTGTTATGTATTTTTTGTGTTCATGGATACGCTTGTTTTTTTTTGTTTTTTTGTTTGTTTTGTTTTTTGTTGTTTTTTTTTTTTTTACTTACTGCAAGCATCGCTAATATATTGTGAAGAGCAGTGTATTTTATATATACCTTCTTCAGAATTATTATCATTATGGTTATTTCTGGTTCTTATTATATCCATAATAGTTTTGGATATGATTAGAATAATTTTTATTTTGTTAAGATTGGATAAAATTTTTTTCGGATTATAGATGTTAAGCAGTTAGTAGATAGTATTGTAAAGTCTGATTTTGTCTAGTTTATTGTCATTATTATTGTTGTTAATAATGTGATTATATTTTATATGGATTTCACTTAGCATTGTCGATGAACTAATGAGGATATTGGAGGGTTTTTGAAAGTGTTTTCAATGCATATTTTTTGTAAGTATTGGGAGCAGGAGATTCATGTGCTCTTAAATAAACTCCTAAAATTATTCTAAATTTTATCCTGTTACAGTGGTGGGAATAAAAATTGATATCACTTTTGTCAGTGGATTTTCTGTAAACCTCCAACTGTAGGTCGTTATTTGTTCGATATAGCATGGTATCCAGGAAGAGTAAAGTATTGTTGAACTTTGATTCAATGGCAAAATCAATTGCAACTTCACCGTTATGAAATTTATTGACAAGTTCGGGTAAACTATGTTTTGCGGATATATTAATAGAGAACCATATATGTATCTAAAATAAGGAGAATTTTGTGCTAAAATATTTTTGAAAGAACCCCTTTCTAGAAATTCCAAAAATAGACAAACCAAAATGTTACAAAGAAGGGACCACATCCGTGAACCAATTTTTTTATTTAAAAGATGTTATCAAAATGGAAAAAAATTAATTAGTGATTAAATGGAACATTTTTATGATTTTATGTGTAGGAAGAGGTAATTTTATTTTTGTTTTTATTAAGTGTGTTTTTAGTAAATTTAGGCACTTCTTTACGGGAAGATTTGTATATTTATATTCTTTTTCTAAGCAAGGAGATAATTGTACGAAGAAGTGGTATAAAAACTGGACAGCTGATGTTAGTTTATGTGGGGCGCTATCTATTCCTGATATAATGTGTCTCATCAAGATATCTGGATTATATTTTTGGTAATTCGTAGGGTATGGGTGTTTTCGGAAGATATTCGATGAGAAACTGCTTTCATTGTTTTAAAATAATTTCTTGGTTTCATTTTTAAATTTGTCCGTCGCTTTTATGACCTTTATTTTTTTCATAAATTTTATCATCTTCGAGAAGGAGTTTCATTTTCTGTTGGAAGTGGATATATATATACGCATGTTTTATTATTTGATATTTCTTTCTGGTCATTTATGTATTTTTAATCATTTCAACTCAAGTAAGGCAATAAAGCCATCCAGATGTTATATGCATATCACTTAATAGAAACTCAGTTCTAAGTGGAAAGTCAGGTTAAGATACTCCATATGTCAAGAGTAGAATTTGATGTTTGACAGCAAAACATTTTGCGTTATTATCAGATGTTAAGAGAGGGGGAATAGAAGACTTATTCTTATTAAACACACTATTAAAGAGTCACCAATAGTCACAAGAACCAAATTTGTTAGAGTCTATACGGAACCTTATTCTATCAGCAAACAAATTAAGTATGAGTACACGTTTAAAATTATTGTGAGCAGGCACAATTAGGTGTCAGCTATGATCTGAAAAATCATGTTGGTACATACGGAATATATATACATATATTTTCTACAAATTTGTGTATTTTATTTAGAAATATGTAAATAGGCAATATTTTCTACACATTCAACTTTTTTTTTAGAAAAGTATGAAAATAAGCTATTTTCTACACATTTATGCATTTTCATATAGAAATATGCATATAAGCAAAAGATTCTGCACATTTATGATTTTCTATTAAGAAATATGGACATATGCAATATTTTATACATATATTTTAATAAAAAAAAATGAGCTTATTTTTCTACACATTTTTTATTCTCATTTATTCTTTTATGTTTTGAAATATGAAAATAATCATCTTTCTCTATATTTTTAATTCAGAAATGTAAAAATAAGTTACCTTTTGTACACATTTGTGCATCTTTATGCTTTTTTAGAACTATTAAAAATATCTTTTTCTGCATATTAATGCTTTCATGCTAATATTTCTAAACTTTTTCCGTAGAAATATGTAATTAAGATTCTTTTTCTACACATTTATGATTTTTATTTGGTAATATGAAAATAAGCTTCTTCTTTTCTACATATTAAAGCATTTTTATAGATAAATTAGAAAATAAAATTCTTTTTTATACTTTTATTTAGAATTTTTTTATTTAGATTCTTTTTTATACTTTTATTTATAAATATGAAAATAGGTTACAATTTCTACACGCTTATGCATTTTTATATATAAATATGAAAATAATCTATTCTGATGTCTTGCAGTAATTGTCTGAAAGCGACTCAGTTTTGGACTGCCTCTGACTCGACTCTTGACTCGACTTGAACTACTGACTCCACTTGAACTCCTGACGATATTCAGTCACCCCCCACGAGGGCGTCATGTGGCACAAGGCCGGTTTAACGTGGGATCTCCAAGCCCGTGGGCTCGGCCAAAAATATGCCCATTTGAACCCGTATAAACGGGTTCAGGGTCGGTTTACCTTCCCGAAAGAGAAACCGCCCTTCGGCGTAGCCTCGTTCGGGTTCCTCCCCGCCCGAAGGCAGAGAGTTAAACCGATAATTCAAGACTTGAACTACTGACTCCTTGCCTACTCCTGAGGTGCAGTATTTATTAAGTATGGAATAGTTAATTATTATTATTATGGGTAAGATCCCATAACACCCCACTTCCGAAGCTTTTGCGTAGCAGGTTTTTTTTAAATATCTTTTTTTCTTTGGATCTATTTCCAAAGGTTCAGTGAATTTTCTTTTTCTTGACGATTTTCTTGGTTCTGGCATTATTTGCGTTCTTGTTATATCGAATGTGTCGAAAATCGTGTCCAATACCTCTTCTTGAGGTGGACCGTTAGCACCTGTAACGGTCTCTTCCTTATTTGGTTTACGTGTCTTCTGTGTGAGAATTTTTTTCCTTCTACTATGTACATCATATTGCCAATTCTTTTCTCAATTATGCCATGCTCCCAGTAAGAGAAATTTTCTTTTTGGTGCGTAGGACTGTGTTACTTGTTTTGTTTTACTTGGTAGTAATTTATCGAACGCTGATCTGATTTTCCTAGCAAACATTCTTCTGCTGGTGATAATGTTGATGGTGTAGAATTATTTGGTGTTATTCTATATACCTGTAGGAATTGCTGTAATGCTTTCCCCGTAGGCACATCGTACGCTTTTCGTATCGCTCTTTTGAGTGTATCCACGAATCTCTGCGCTTGTCCATTTGATCTTGGGTAGTAAGGCGGGGATTTTAAATGTTTTACTTGATAAATTTCGCAAAACTCTTGCAAGTCTGCTGACGTGGTTGCGTCCCATTATCTGTTACTAAGCTACACCAAACCGAGCGAATAGCTCGTGGAGGAAATTTATGGTCGTTTCTGTAGTAGGATTTTTGCACCGAAACACCTCCGGCCATTTACT